GACTGGCCAAAACTAGACCAAAAGAAATTGATGCAGGGATAAGAGAAAAACAGCCATATTCCTGAGAGACATAACCCTTTTACCTGAAATATATCAACCAGCGTTATGTCATCCATTAGACGATATTGCATCAAGGCATCGTATGGGGCGGAGTTGAACATTTAATCACTGAACGAAGAAGATTCTGGTCTTGTTTACTGTCTGGACGCTCTTAGAAATGTCTGTTTGTGGACTTTTGTTCAGGTAAAGTTGTGTATTATGTACTGTTACATTTCTTTGTCAAGCTTTGTGAACAGTGAGGAAGGAGTAACTGTTTCCGCACAAGTCCGCCTGAACCTTGCCTCTGTGAGGTCACCGTTGCTGTACAGCATGAAGACCACTGTTTTAACAAAGGAGCAAAAACGACGTTTGAACAGTGAGAGCAGCGTTGGCTTTGACGCGTATTGAAGGTTGAATGGCTGTATTCTGTTCCGGACAGAGGTGAACTCATTAGGTGTAGAGATTATGAAAAGGAGGTTGACCGTAGTACACTAGCCGAAGTTGAAACATTCGCACTACTCCGGGAGCTCCTCTTTCACCTCAGAGCCGAAACAACGGCAGATGTCGACCAGGAGGCATGAGGTAGCATGGAGGAAAAGGAAAGAGGCAGATCCACTTTCGTAAAAGAACATTTGTATCTGCGATTCAGTAACCGGTGTGTAATAGCGAAGTGTAAAGAGCATGCTAATACAGCGGACATCACAAACCAGATATGTTCTGCTTGTGCACACGGATCACGATGGTCACCTCAACAGACACTGTAGTTTATGGTCTAAGTTGTGTTTAACTGTCATAAATTGCACTCGTTTATTTTTGGTGTAGTTCGGTTACATTTAGTCAATTAATATCAACGGATAGGTTGCCTGTGACTATTTTCAGACATCTGAAATTCACCAGTTTCATTGTAAATGAAAAACTGCCCTCGAAGAAATTACCATGGCCCTTTAGATAGCCTTTAGATAGAAGAAGTGTAAGCAGTACATTCAGGCATGCGCTGGAACTCTGGCCAAATGAGGTCGAGTATCTCTCAACATGATCCTCTGTTTTATCTTTCTCCGTTGGTTCTTCAGAGTGACGTCAGTCAATCTGCTGGTGCATTAACTGAAGGTCTGGAATAACCATGTGGTCGAGTTCTAAACTTACCTCTAAGAAACAAGAACTTAAAAAGGACGATGATGCAATAATCGGCGAACCTCAACAAACAGTTCCTAGAAGACGAAAGCCTTTACCTCCATGAAAGACGGTGCTAGCTGATTTCTCTCCCTCAGTATCCATGTGATGTCTGTCGCCGATCACGATACAAAAAATGGGGATGCCCAACACCCATTCCGCAATGGGTACCTCAGCTTACTACTGCACCTACAAGCCAATCAAAGCAGAGAACCAGTCGAAACGTAACTGTAAATCATAAGTTCAGCTTAACAACTTTGTCGACCCAAAAACACAGGCCCACATTCACACAATGGAAAATACCTGACGTTCGATGAAGTTGCTCAATAATAACCTTTTCGCTTCCATGATTTCTTTGACACTTTTACATTTATAGCACCCGTTACAAGTCATAAACATAAACAAGGCATTGAATGACGCTTGCATTTGCATTCATAACTAGCACCTGGCGAGATTCGAATGATACCCATAAAAACTGAACTTTCAATGCGAATTTCAGGTGCATTCTCGAAGGCCTTCACAAACGAAAAAAACAGCGTACGTTTCAATGTGCAATCATCGTAACAAAATTAGACGAATTATATTAAAAAGAAAATAAATGCGCACACCTGGTTATTGGGAAAGCGAGCCTTCGTGTAAAAACGAGGCAAACAAGACGACGGGATGGAGGGCAAGAAAGTGGTCAATCGCTCGCTGCTTTTCGCTCGCTGTACGCCACTGCTACAAATGGACCATTCCGTTTGCTGTCTTGAGAACAGACACCGGAATGGAAACGACTAACGGTCAGGCTGGAAGTGTGTTGCATTCAAAAAATGCAACCAACGCCGGTGAAACTGCCAGCCATGGGATCAAGTGGCAGAAAAAGTGGCCAGTCGACTTTCGGATCGAGCCGATTGATGCGTGGACTAATTTTTCGGCTTTTTGCGTTAATTGTCGCTGCCGTTGTCGAAGAGATCGGCGACCTCGTTTTTAAACAGGTTCGACCTCAGGCACCGTCGAGCGACTGCCTTTCGATAACTTCTTCTGACGACCTCGGGCGTCCGGTGCTTTGTTTCATCTTGAACGACTGGAAACGGCGGCGGGATAGTAAAATTTTTCGCCCTACAGTCGTCAGAGGTCCTACTAGACAACCGTGAGGAAAATTGATAGCCGAAATCCTTATTGAACTCAAGTCTGAATCAAACGCCTTTCTCGGGCCGAAGCGTAGATGATAAATTCCTCAGTTTGAGCATTATGAAGATCAGCATGGCTGGTGACCTCATTTTCAGTTATATTCTTCCACGGTGTTGGAACGTTACCTACGATTTGTCGAGATCGAGATCTTGCTGTAATTCTCCAGGCACACTATGAGGTATTCTTCATAATCTAAACTATAAGCCCTTGTCACGGAGATGAACAACTCCGAAGGTAAGCAATCGCATTGCATTAATGTACCGTGCACTTTAAGCTACTACAGTAGCAGTAAGAAGCCTAGTGAATGGTAAAGGGTTACCATGAATCCTTTAAATCGTTGTTAATGAGTTGATCTTTGTAATTAGGCTGACCTTTGGAAAATGTACACTAATTTCAAACCAGAATGAAAGGATGGGAGGAGCATGATCTTCATTAACCCAGCAAAGTTCATATGAAATAATTTCATTGCGCTGTCAACTGTCCAAACGCAGGAATTACGACTCAATCGGCAAGGCCGTCATAATGCATATAGGACTATGTAAAAAAAGGAGCATGTAAAATAATTGCGCCATTTGGACAGTCTGTATAAATGATAAATAATCTTTTTAATGACCTGATAAATCTAGCAAATGAGCATTATCCAGAGTTTTACATTCACTTGACATCCCCTTGACCGTGGATGACATTTGTTGTGTTATACAATGATATTCCGTGTGACATGGGGATAAGG